ACAGTTCAGTCATGATGATAAGTGCCCACTTGGCAGATCTCCAAATGCTAGATGATACTGAACTTTACATTAAAGCCCCCCAAATGTAATATAGGAGTTCAGTGAGTTCCCCCACATTTTATTCTCAAAGTACCATTCCTGCTAACTTGAAGTGGTCATCAAACTTGAGATTATGGTTCCTCTTTTTAATACCCAGTCTTTGCTAGGATGAAGACTCTTCAGAAGAGTCCTTTTAGTTCCTTTAACAATTACTATTTTACCCTGCTCTATACTACTAGTAAAGTAACCAAATGGGAATAGCTTTTGCTTTGTTTTCTCAAGCATTTCATTACAAATGAAATGGTTAATTTATCTAAATGTGATGATGTGAAAGCACACATCAGCTATAAAACAAGCTAGACAAGGGATTGCTTAATTTAGTATTTTTAGTTAGAAGGGCCTATTAAAGTCTCGTTAATTTCAGAAAAATCCTATCATGTCTGACCTGTAAAGAACCTGGAGTTCACTTAGTCCAGATGAGAAAAATGAGGCCTAGAGCTTAAACACTATCCCTTAAGTCACCCAGCTTAGCAAGTTTTTCCCAGGAAAGGAAGAAAAAAGGGAAAAGGCAAAAATCAGAATAGAGCATTGAAACTGCAGTAAGACCCACCTTCAAACACCTGAACTGCAATCAATGAACGATTATTTAAATACAAGGAAGTTTCAGCCCTTTTGACTTATTCTACTCATTTTCAAAAAGCCAAAGAGAACTTTAAAAAGATGGCTTTATAGAGAAATCATTACATATACTACTTAAATAAATGTTTACTTGTACTTACCTCTACAATTTAAAATTTAAATGCTTTAAGATTCTCCAAAGCCAAATATAAAAATTAAAGGTTTAATATTTTTTTCTTTGTTCTTATAGGTGAAAATGTGCATCAGAATTTCAAAAGAATATTTTTGTTCAATACAAACTTCCATGAAAGAAATCCCAAGTGCTATATTTGAGTTTTTTTCAGTATAATTTATTCTTCTTACATTTTAATTTACAGTTGTTAAATGCCTTAGAAACATTACACTCGAAGTAATAGACTTCCAGACAGAGACCATTAACTAAGAAGGAGCAGTCTCACTAAGTCAGCTTCCCTAGTTAGTTTGCTGGCCTCCTCACTATTCACATACTCTCTGGTGCTTATTACTATGTAACTGTCTTCAAGATATGGCTGAAGCTTGAATCTACATCTGGCATCAGGCCAAGTCTGTGAATCCATGAATACAGGCCATCAATTGCATTTAGGGTACAGCCTGCAGAAGGCTCTTTCTTGACAGTCAATGATGATGAATGTGGAAAGACTGGATATTCTCTTGGGAGAAGAAAACATAGCCCACCTTAAGTGACAGCTACAGTTTTCTAACAGAAAAAACAACTGGGAAAGGGAAAAGATCAATGATACGAATAGGGAAAATACTCTGAGAATAGAGTAAGTACAATATATATATATAAAGGAGTAAACAGGCTGCTCCTGAGTCCATACTCTTTTATTTTTAAAAGTCTGATAAAAATTTACTCAGTTACATTTTATACAGTAATATTTAGTGAGCTTTGTCCAAAAAGGCTACGTTTTAAGTTTGCTTGTAAAAATAATGAAAGCTTTATCAGTCTCTGGTCGATAAGAAAGGAAGAAAACCTTGCTAGAAATAACAATAAATAATTTCACACAAAAGGCCAGGTGACATAAGAATAGTATATTAATGAATATATTTTCTTTGTATTTACAATAAATCCATTTGTTAATACTGTGATAGAAAAAATAATCAGTTCACATTATACAGTAGAAACAGGCTTTGAGGCTGATCATACCTCTCACAATAAAAACCTAACAAGGATTTCTACCACAGCTAAAGTACTTTTCAACATGACAGTCTTGGGCGAAGGTAAAACTAACAGAGCACTTCATGTCCTAGAATCAAGGAATCGAGGGTATTACCATTAAGGAAGCAGCAAAAAGCTGTTTGGTTTTTCCAGGACTATTTAAATATAGTAGTTACCATATGAGAATTTAATTTTACTTTGAGATATAAAAAGTAAAAACCCTCAATAGGGAAACTGCATTAATCAAAAGCAGCCCCAAACAATAAAGCCATCAATAGAGAAATGAAACAAGGCATTCTTATGTATCATGCATAAAAAGGATAATTACATAATACATACTTTAATGACCAGACTAATAAATAAATGTGATAAATTTTACAGTCATTGGAACAAATAAACTATGTTCAACCACTTAAGTGTTATACTGCCACTGCTTTTGGTTCAAAATATTAAGTAATATAATTAATCTAACATCTAAAAACTGCATACTTTGAATGTTTGCTTTTTTGATCCCCTTTTGAGATAGTAAAGGGGAACCATGTAATAAAATATTATCTGAATATAAATTATCAACACCAATATGATACAATTGGAATTGTGTATATGCACAGTGTAAATATTTTGAAAACTAGAAAAAAGATGAAAAGAGACTGGTCAGAATTTTAAATTTCAGACTAATCCATGATAATCTAGAACAGAAGATAAAAATAAAGCTCACCAAATAGATATAACTTGATATCTTTTCCAAATTCAGTAGTCCACTGAAGACGCAACTTCTAAACAAGTCTATTATCTCAAAGGTAAAAAGAGAAAGAAAATGTAAATCTCTTTTGAGCTTTAGTTTTCAAGTTTATCCTCTCAAAAAAGGCTTGACATTAGTCAGAAGAGCAATACTATATCTTTGCTTTTGAACTTTGTATTTGCTTTTCCTATTTTAGCTATAGTACTGAACAGAGAGAAAAACATTAAATTATCAAGTCAAGGGTAACTATTTACGGCAAGCTCATGAAATATATTAAATTGAATTAATCAGCTGGGTCAAGAATTTCCTACTATCCTGCTATGCTTAATACCTATAGTCTTGGAATAGTAATTTAGGAGATGTCTATCATAACTACTGACAGCACTTTTCATAGTATACCAATTTCCACTTTTCCTTTTTCTCTCCTTTGCCACTTAAATGCATTATTTTAACCATCTGGTAAGAAATTTTATTTTACAAACTCCCGTTCCAATTACTGAAGAGGTGATTGTAACACATAAACCTGCCAATCCTGAGATGATGATGATGATGATGGAAAACTAAAACCCAGAGGATTATTCACTCAAATTTCTGCTTTAGTTTTTTCTGGAAGATGGCTGGCAGAATAGAAAGAAGAGCCAAGATCATTAGAACAAATACTGAGTTCCAGGAAACAGCTTCCCCTGCTGTTGTAAGCTGGTATAGTGTTGTTCCTGCCTTAATTGCTACAAAAGAGGGAGGTGCAACACCTAAAATAAAAAGTAAAAACATACATTAAAAAAACAATCAATTCTTGTTAAAAATTAAAACTCTGTGTGTATAAAATTTCTTGTAAGAATACAATGACTTACAGTTTTTAAACTTTTAATTTAATTTAAAGCCCCTCAAGTTTATTTCCATATAAAGAATTCAATTTTTCATAATCACCTCTTAAGGATATTGAATTAAAAAACCCAAGGGGGGAAAAAAAAAAAACCCAAGGAAAGTTTCCAGGAAATAATTTTACAAAATTTATCAACAGCCTTAAAAAAAGAATGTGCTATGACCCGCCAATTTCAACTTTAGGAAATACTAATGTATATAAGCAAAGATCTGGTCTCAAGGATGTTTAAGAATTATAATTTAAAAATCTGGGAAAAAACCTCCATCTTTGAAAATAAGATTGAGTAAATTTTCATTCACTCTTGACATTTAAAATAAATGTCAAGTAATGTCAAGTATATTTAAAATAAAAATGAGTGATAGGAGATACTCAGAAATAGAAAGATACTCAAAATATATGAGTAAAAACAGCACTTTATACAAAAGAATGGTGAAACCACCATATTTTATTAAAAATCAGAACTGGAAAAATTACTTTAGCCAAAGCTGAAGTTAATTTTATCTCTAGGTATTTCATCTGTAAAATAGAGAGACAGTACAAAAATTCTCTCTTCTGATCCCATAAATGTAATATTATTTTACAAAATCCAAAAGTACCCCCACTAAGATATTTTTTCCACTTTTATGGAGAATCTGCTAAGACTTTCAGCTTTGTCTATGAATTCTTCTAAAAGTAGCAATAAGTATTAACTTAAAGGTTTAATGTAATACACACTCAACACTAGAGGAATCTGCTCATTTTGTTGATATCTAAACAATTCAACTTAAATTTAAAAGAAACGCAGAATATTCTTAGTAAAAGAACTAGCAGAATTCACAAAATATATAAATGAATCTTTTTTTTTTTAATGAATCTTTAAGTTCACCTTCAAAATTAAGTGCTAGCTCCTCGAAAGCAAGAATCTTTTTGTTGATCCTTATTTCCCCTATACTTTTGGTAATGCCCATAATGAGTACTATGTCAATAAAAAGAAAGATAGGATCAATTCTTTATTGAAAATTAAAGTTCTTATTTAAGTACCTCATTAGAAGACAAAGGAGAAAGTACTCAAAAGAGGCACTTTCATTTTTTTTCTCTCCACTGAGGGAGAGAACGGAGTTAAGAAGTCCTGCATAATTCTGTATGACCAAAAGAATATCCAGAAGACAGTGCTCTTATTTTATAAAAGTAACAAAAAAATATTTAAATCACCACAATCCAACAAACATTTCTGAACATCAACTTACATAGACCAGGCTCTGTGACCACCAGTTATATAAACCTACACCAGTTGGACACGGCTAGACATGTAAACAATGAGTTCTGTAACATGTATGAATTCATAGACAAAGATAAAAGTCTTAGCAGGTTCTCCATAAAAGTGGGAAAAAAATCTTAGTGGGGTACTTTTGGATTTTGTAAAATAATATTTCATTTATGGGATCAGAACAAGAGGCCTTGGCCTTACCTAGAAAAGTGCCAATAAAAAAAACTTTCAAGGGCACATTTATCACAGGAGATGTAATATTAATAAACCAATTAGGCAGAAATGGTGTTATTCTCAAAAATATAATGTAGTTAATGAGATGTTCTCTGTGACGTTCAACCTGTGACAAGAAACAAACAAATTAGGATGAAGACAAAGCCAATCCTGAAAATAAATTGCTTATTATAAAATACCTTATTTCAAATTCTTATCCCTGATAGCTCAGCATTTACCCAACAGAAATTATCAAAAAAGGAGTTTGAAAATGACAATGAACTACTCATCAAATGTTCATTATCAGAGCTAAATAACATCAGATGAAAGTTTTTATGATTGTGCTTACAGCATAATGTTACACTATTAAAGATGGCTCTATATCAGCCTAGATAATATGGCTCAACAACATTTTAAACCTAAAAAGGCAAAATTAAATTTATAACTATATATAAGATATCCAGTGGTCAACTTTTTAAAGCCTTTAACTTCCTATAAAGGAAGGGCTAGTATAGTACATCAATAAACCTAGCCTCCACTTTTTAAAGAAATTCAGATAATCTTTGTTATTACAATTTACTTCACATGAGTGAATTCATCATTGATAAATGAGCAAATGGAAACATTCAGCTGATTAAATAAAAGCACTGATTGCAGTTTATGCTAGATCTTGCCATATAAATAATGATTTTGATTTGGGGCAAAATGTTTAATTTCTATTAATTTCCTAGCCTATAAAACAAAGGGATAAATATATAATAAAATTTCTCTGATTTAATAATCTGTTTCTTCTGCTTTTTTCTTAGAAATACTATGTTAGACTTTCCTGTGTAGTAGTGTTTATATCAATATTTATCAGTGGTAGCCTTTGCAGAGGTCCTAACAGAAGATAACAGTTCTTCCCACTAATGAAATGCATTAAAGGAGCTGGCTGATACAAGCTTTTCAGAGACCCACTGACAGCATCCTGCATCAACACAAGTGAGGTGTTTAAATACATGGATGCCTTTACATTGACACTATGATTTTTCTGCTGACTAAACTTACTAGGAATAAAGAATTTACTGTTATAGACACAAAAAATTTATATCTGAAATTATTAACATTCATTATTTGCCTACTGCTTAATTTTATTTTGGCCAAAAGATCATTTTTATCAAAGCCCTGAGTCTGAGTTCATTTATGTAGATATTATACACTGACCTCCCAAGTAGCCAAAGGATTACATCAAATAATTTAAAAATACATGTTTACCTGCTGTGACCATTTTACTGCTTTCTCTGTTAGGTATTTATATACAACTGGCCTCCCAACTAAATAGGAGAGCATATAGCAGAATGAGGCACCGAGTCCAGAACACTAGAAAATAACAAAAACTCATAAGCATTTTGTACTTTTCCATCTTACTCACATGGATATATTCGTCTAAGGCAAAACTCAACTAGTTTCTTTCTTCTGGCTTCCAGGGAGGTTACTCTGCATAACACCTCTTATGCAGAGAGCAAGAACCCATCTAATCCAGTCCTTTCTCTCACCAAATTATAACTAAAATGAGACAACTGGAACTTGTGACTAAACTTGTGACTAAACTTAAGAGACCATATCCAAATAGTTCACGTTAGCCATTAACCTATGAATAAAACCTCAAGAGCCAATATTTTTTCAATTGCTATGCTTGAAAATACCACCCTGTCCAGCCCTGGGACTTAACTTCTTGTGCCCACCAACAACATTCTTGGACTGTTTGAATTACAAAACAGTATTGGAAGCAAAGGCTAGAACAGAGCCTATAAATGCAATTAAGTCTGTGATATCCCTCTTCTAGAAAAGAGACAAACTATAACATCTCCTTTTGGAGGGACTTAACAAATATTACTTTAATACTAAACACCTCTTAAAACTAAGTTTATGCTTTCAGAGACTAGGATGCCATCATTATTCCAATCATTCTATTTAGTTTTTCTAGCCTCCCAATTTCATTTTAAATACTTACCAAACAAACAAGAAATAAGGCTAGTGGAAAGGGATAAAGAAACCCTGAGAGTATACTGAGAAATATAGAGCCTGGAATGGCAAATGTTTGCAAGCTGTTAACTTCTAAGTTAAGGATTAAAACATAATTAAATGGATTTCTCAATCACAAATCCAACAATCCAGAAAAAAAGTATCAATGCAGCAGTTACATGTTAATAAGATTATATCCATATTTCAGTATTAAAAAATTAAGTGAAATTACACCCAAAATTTAAAACATACACAATTACTCAGCTGTAATACCTGTAACCTAAAGCTTACAATTTACTAACATTATCAGAAATCAATGTTAATTAGAGTGTGTTACTAAGAGAAAACCAAGACAAATGCCAAATGTGTACCAGACAGAGAAGAACTAGGCACTTTAGGGGAACAGGGACACAGAAAAAAAGAAAAAGAACAGGAAAGGTCTTCAGTAACCTTGTAAATAATATACTTCTCTAATACATTGGATTTTTACTCTCAAATACTTTTATGAAACATGATTTCTGTAGACACACAGGTACATAGAAGATTTACTATGCCTAATTCAATGTGTGGACATTTACCTCAACTTACTACTCATTAAAAAAAGGACAAGGGTTACTAAAGATAGTAAAGTCACAAACAAATCTTACTTTTAAATAGGATCTTTTTTCTACTTCTCTGGTTCCTAGTTTGGCCCTGGACCTCTGCATCAACCATAACATGACTTACTTACAAGTCAGACAGAGTGAATTCCTTCAACATCTCTGTACTTTAAAATTTCTATCTTCACTCCACCTGTTTGTTCCCTCTAGTTTGCACTTTACTCTTGCTTTTGTTTCAATCTCCTTCTTCCTGGGTTCTTTATCTTTAACTTCTTGCTCTCTGACGGATTCCTCCTGCATAAAACCATTCAGATGCCTATAAACTAAAGAGAACCTGGGCTTTTTCGTTGAGCAAGGTATAGTTATTGCCTCTCTCATCTTCACTGCCTTAGGTTCTCTCCATATCCCTTGCCACCTGGCTTACCCATCCGCTACTCTATTGGAACCTCCTTCTGGCTGAAAGTAATGACTTTTTCTCAGTAAGAATTTTTAGTAATCCCTGCATAAGATTTGATATCCTTTAATGTGAAACTCACCTCCAGTGAACTGTATTTTTCGATATTACAGATCATTCCTTCTCTAGCTTTTTTCTTCTCCTTACCCTCAAATCTGGAGATTGTTAGCCAATCTCCTCTCACCTTTGATAAATTCAGTTATTTCCATGTATATGGACACACACATGGCTTCAAGTATATGGTCATATGTATCTATAATGTTGAATTCTCTTACCAATCTCAAATTTCCCTGCTATCTACCGGACACCTCCACTAAAAAGTTTAAAAATTACACTTATTTATTTCAGGGCTCTTTAGAATCTTTTAATGGAAAGTCTCAAACACATATGAAAGATGAGAAACTAGTACTATGATGCCCTATATACCCATACACAGTTTTAACAATTAACACACAACTAATCTCGCTTTCTCTGGATCCCTTCATGCAATCAGATTGAAGCAAATCCCAGACATATCATTACAAGTACAACTACTTTAATACCTTTAAAAGATAAGGATTCCTTTTCTTAACACAATGATAATACTATTGTCAAAAAGTAACTATAACTTCCAATTGATCTAAGCAGCCATTTACCGTGTTCACAATTTCTACATGCCTTTTTTTTTGACAGCTGGTTTGTTCAAATCAGGAATGAAAGGGGTCCACACATGGTATTTGCTCACTATTAGCAAATAAATACAGATTTTTTTTCCCCGTTGCAATTTACTTATTGAAGAAATTGGGTCATTTGTAGAATTTACCACTTTTTGAATTTTGCCTATTGTATCCCTTAGGGTGGTTTATGTTCCTTTGTCATTTTTAAAAATTAATTTTTGTTGGCATACACCTGATTTACAACAGGGGCTTCCCTGGCGGCTCAGTAGTAAAGAATCTGCATGCTAATTCAGGAAACATGGGTTTGATCCCTGGGTCTATAAGATCCCTTGGAGGAGGAAGTGGCAACCCACTGCAGTATTCTTGCTTGGACATCCAGTGGACAGGGGAGCCTGACGGGTTACAGTCCATGGGGTCTCAAAGAGTTGGACACGATTAAGCGACTGAGCACGCATGCCTAGTCACTCAGTTGTGTCCGACTCTGCAACCCCACGGACTGCAGCCCGCCAGGATCCTGTCCATGGGGATTCTCCAGGCAAGAATACTGCAGTGGGCTGCCATGCCCTCCTCCAGGGATCTTCCCAACCCAGGAATTGAACCCAGGTCTCCCACACTGTAGGTGGACTCTTTACTATCTGAGCCACCAAGGAAGCCCACTTTTCATGTGAGTGGAATCATACAGCATGTCTTTGTGATTGGTTTGTTTCACTCAGCATAATGTCCTTAAAGTTCATCTATGTTGTAACATGTTTCAAAACTTCCCTCCTTTTTAAAGCTGATAATATTCCATTGCATGTGTATAGCAAACTTTGTTTACCCATTCATTGGTTAAAAGACACTTGAGTCGCTTCCATTTTTTAGCTATTATGAATAATGCTGCTATGAACATGAGTGTACAAATATCTCTTGAGACCCTGCTTTCAATTTTTCAGGTATATACTCAGAAATAGGACTGCTGAATCTTGCTTTTAATTTTCTGAGGTAACATCATATTGTTTTTCATAGTAGCCACACTGTTTTACACTCCCATCAACAGTGCACAGAGGTTTCAATTTCTTCATATCCTCACCAACACTTGTGACTTCCTGGGATTTTTGTTTGTTTTTTTGATTAGTAGCCATCTTAATGGGTGTGAGGGTACTTTAGATTTTTAAGATTCTTGTTTCTTTTTTTCATTTTGATTTAGTTGGTTTTATACCTATTTCAATTTCTTCATATCCTCACCAACACTTGTGACTTCCTTGGATTTTTGTGTTTTTTTGATTAGTAGCCATCTTAATGGGTGTGAGGGTACTTTAGATTTTTAAGATTCTTGTTTCTTTTTTTCATTTTGATTTAGTTGGTTTTATACCTGTGTGAAATTATTTACTTGGTTCTAAAGTCATATCTACGCAATGAAGTACACTTGGGGAAGTTCCACTTCTATCACTGATTCATCTCTCTCTCTCCCCACTCAGGTAAACATTTTTATCAGTTTTTAAAGATATCCTTTCTATTGTTACCCACAGCTCAAAAGTCCTCAATAACTATCCAATACCAAATAATATTCTAAATTCCTTAGCCTAGTACTCAAAGTCCTCTACAATCTGAGTACAACGTCCAGCCTACCTTCCTAAACTTATTTCTCAAATCCTCCCCTTCTCACTTCCTACACCCCAACAAAACTGGACTACTGATCACTTCCTTACCATGCCCTGTGCTTATAAGCTCTGCTCTAGACTTTCTGTGTCTAGAATGACTGTACTGTATCTCTACCCATAATTCTCATTATTCCAGATGGAAACAGTTGTTTTGCTTTTGAACACTTAAAACTAGACTGTACTTAGCATACAAGTTAGTACTTAAAAAAAAAAAAACTGGCTAAATGGACGAAATCTAAGTTAAAATTAGTGATTGTAACATAAAAAGTAACAGATATATGAGTTTGAATTAGGTAATACCAATGAAAGTACCAGTACTGCACTGCTGAATACAATGGCTACTAGCCACATGTGCTGTGGAGACGAGACATTAAAGTGTGCCTGGTCTGAACTGAGATGTGTTATGAGTGTGAAATACACACATTTCAAAGACTTGGTTAAAAAAAATGTGAAATATTAATAATTTTTACGTGGTTATGTTTTGAAATTATATTTTTGACATTTCAGTTCAAATAAAATATATTAAGATAATTTTATTTGGGACTTCTCTGGGGGTTCACTGATTAAGATACTGTGCTTCCAATGCAGGGGACACAGATTCGATCCCTGGTCGGGAAACTAAGATTCCCACATGCTATCTGGCCAAAAAAAGAATATGCCAATATCATTATAATAAATATTTTTTAAAAATTGTTACTTTTTCTAATGTGCTAACTAGAAAATTTTAAAACTCCATGTGGCTCACATTATACTTCTATTAATTAGCACTGTACTATTAATTATATGCCTTAAATACCCTAAGGTAAGTCTTTTCTTGTACACTGAATTTTAAAAAGTATCTTTTTAACACTCAGAGCTTAAGATTCCAAAGTGTAAAATAAATAGAAAATTATAAGAAAATACGGAATTATCACATTATCCTATAAAAAAATCTAAAACAATGCAGAATCATTACAATTAATTATTAAGCAAATAGTTAACCATATGCTATAAAACCTGAACTGACAATATTAACCAATGATTTATTTTTATCAAATGTATTTACAGTAACAAACATATTCCTATACTTTCAATTCACTTTCTACTAGGCACTTTATTCTTTTCTACTAATTTGCATATGAATATTAAAGACAACTAGGCTATAACATTTGTTCTCCCATAGATGGTCAAGATTCACTTATGCTAACTGGCTGACTAGTGATATGGGTGGGGATCCCTTTTATCCTTCAGCCATGAATCCTTCCCAAAGCTAGGGGGCAAACTGGACAGAACAGATGATTTTCCAAAGTAAATAGAAACTGTATGTCTTGTTCACAAAATGTTCACAAAAACCTTATAAAAGCATATGAAAGGGATGAATCAAATTTGTTTCTTCTTTGGGGAAATACTTTATTTTATGGCTAAAGTTTATACATGTAAAATAACCTCCAAGCCTAACACTCTGGTTTTCACAAATAAGTGATGAAATGGAAAGCACAAATCAAGAGTTAATGTCTTTCATTACCCAAGAAGATATGGAAAATACACGGGACTAGAATAAAAGATATAAAAATTTAGAAACTAACATCCACAAATTGGAAGGTTAATCACCAGTTGCACAGGCAGTTTGAAAATATGTAGAAAGAATAAAGCTATTTTCCTGCCTAGTTAAATTATAACATATATTTCTATATAAAACAAACGAATACATACTGAGAACTGTAAAAAAAAATCATATCTTTTACAAGACTAATTATCCTGTTAGGATTTTTTTACAAAGAGAACCATTAAATGGAAGAAAAAAATCATGAACAAATGATTCATAGCATAGTATCTACAAAAGCAAAAAATTAAATACAAACTATAACTTCAAACCTAAGAGAATTTTAAAAAATTATGGTATGGTAACTAATAATTCAAAATTATTATTTAAATTAAGACCATCGATTAACTAATAATCCTAAATAAAGTAACTATCTTAAATAATACAAAGGAAAGAAAAAAGTTTATGATAAGTGAAATAAGCAGAAAACAGAGAAACAGGTAATAAATATTTAGAAATGACAACTGAGTTGAAGAGACAGGATTAAAATGAGAATTTTTTCATTCTCATTTTTCAATATTTTAATGTTAACTGCGTTAGCAATTTTTAAAATGAAAAAGTTATGTATAACTGAGCAGCAGATCTTTCAAAACCTTTTTCTTAAACAAAACTAAAAAACATTTTTCAGTTAAAAGGATACAAAATATATGTAGCAAAATAAGCTACAAGTACTTGTACATAAAAGGTGTCCTTATATTTGGATAAAACTTTTCCTAGAGCCTTGGCATCATCCATATCTCTGGGAACCTTCATATTCACTCGTTCTTCCCTAAAGAAATAAAATTAAAGTGAAAAAAATTTTAAACAGAAATTTGCCAAGATAATTCATATCAAAGTCAAGTAAGTTCAAAACATGAAATTTTATCCAAAATGATTTTGATGCCTTGATCTGTAATATGCTAAGTATAAATTCACAAAATTTAACTTCAAAGTCTATATATCATTTGCTTTTTAATGCTTTAAAATAGTTTTATGAGACATATAATTCATATGAAAATTCAAGATGACCCAAATTAAAAGTTAAAAGCATTTGCTCAAACACTGGAGTAAATTTTGAACTAAGAAATGAATCACTGACGTTAGCATATTTAAAACACACTAAACATCATTTTGGGTAATTCTCATAAGCTACAGTAAATAATTAATTACAACCAAAATTAAATATAAATTTCAATGAATTTACAGTTCATATCTTTTCTTTAAGTACCCCAGCTTAAAGTTCAGATAAAAACTTAAACACTTGTTACTTTCTATTACTTTTACTTTACATTCGGTGCCTTGTTTGGAACTGAATGTTCTATTTATAAAAGCCCCAAATAATCACCTTTGTGTTTAACATATATTGTGTCCATTTGTTTACATGATAAAGTTTAATCTTGCAGAACAATGATAGAAAGCTCTTAAAAGTCCTATAAAAATAGCAGGTAGACTAAAAAGGGTTTTCTCTGTAAGTTTAAAAGCTAAAAAAGTTCTTTATGGGGAGATGCATACATCTCATACTTATACACACACAGAAAGAATAAGCAGAATATAGAAGATTTATAACAGCACATTATTATATAAAAGTGTTATAATCCTTAGAGCAGACTGGAAGCAAACAATATTAAATTACACTCGATATTCTTTCCCTCTTTCCGTCAGTTCTTTATTTCTTACTCCTTTGATAAAAATGAGAAAGGATCTAAAACTGAATGATACTAGTATTAATGAAATGACATGCTATCCTCCCAAAGGCATTTTCATTCATGTAAGAAATTAAAAGTATTAAAAATAAACACATTTAACTATAAAATTTCAAATATAAGGAAGTGTTAATGAAAGAAATTAAGAGGAAACAGGAACTTCCTGATACCCTGAAATCACATTTCACAGTTATCCATTACCACACCAAGCTGGCCCTGGTTGGAAGTCTAACCATTTACATTTTAGTAGTCTCTCACATAATCTATGATTACCCAAGGGTGCTATCATTGTGGTTAAATAACCCAGGGATATTTCACCCTCATAAAATATGCCTCAGGTCTATAATCTTTTCCCTGAAATTCAAAAAGCTCTGAAAACCAAAAGTTCTTTGTAGCTTGTCAGCAAAAATCGATCCACATGTATATAAAGTTATTTATAGTTTTTATGATACAAGGTTTTCTATGTATTTGACTATGGTGCACAGCCCCAGATCCTGCTGGAGACACTACATAATATACAGTATTTATTCCACGTTATCTTTCCAAAATAGAAAAGCTCTAAATTCTGAAATACATCTTACTCCCAAGGTTTCTGCTAAGGAACTGTGGCTGTATACTAATAGACAAGTCTTTTTACAAGGTGTATTTCACAACAAAAAGTACTTATTCAAGCCATATCATTTCTATAAAACAGGGAACAGAAAAAGAGCCAGTAGACATAGATGTGGTAGGGAGGTAAACGGACTGAATAGAGGCAGACAGAAGCTGATCACAAGGAAAAGTAAGAAGGCAGAAAACAAGAGTGGAGGGACTTCCCTGCTGGCCCAGTGGTTAAGACTCTGAGCTCCCAATGCAGGGGGCCCAGGTTCGATCCCTGGTCAGGGAACTAGATCCCACATGCTGCAACTAAGCCAAATAAATGAATTAAAAAAAAAAAAAAAAGGCAAAGAAAACAAGAGTGGAAAAAGGGGAAAAGCAGAGAAAAAGAACATCAGTATTTCTCAAACTGCAGGTCAATTTCTATTCTAGACTGCAAGATAAATTTACCTGGTCACTACTAGCATTAAAAAAAAAATAAAATGCAATAAATTAATGTGGTTTATTTTCCAAAATTGCTTGAAAGCCATTAGAAAGATGCCTTAGAGGAGAAGAGCTAGAAAAACCAGACACAGAAAATCAAGAGACATACTTGGAAAGAAGTATTCAAAGACAGTGTCAATATGAACTTGCTACAAACCATGAGAGTTGATACACAATCATCATGACAGATCTGTTGCTTAAAAGTAGTTAAACTTTTAATACACTTTCATCTCTATAAGTGCCTTAATAGACATTTTCTTTTTTTTTTTCAGTATACTTACTCACTAAGCTGAGGAAAATTTTTATATACCAAAAACATAACAAAAGCTGCAGACAGGAAAATGGACACCAATATAAGAAGTGACATTCTTGCTGAGCCAGCTTCTGCACAGGCTTTCTCTGAAAGGGGAGAAAAAAAGTTGTAATTAAGATAAATATAAAGGAAGAGAGTATTTCGAGCCAGTAAATAATTTCCTGAAAGAGTTTCCTCTCGAGAAACTGTTCACACTTTTGCCCAAAACACTGTAACATAAAATTTTAAGTACTACCATATTTGATGTTTTATGAACTACAGTTCTTCTCACTGGTATATGCATTTATTTCAAAAGCATGAAAAAACAGAACAGCAGAATTTGTAGCACTGATTTGTGGATAAGCTGAAGGGGAAAAAACAGCATTGCTCTAAATGCTATCACTGTCTTGTAATTTTATGTATCTACATTGGGAGCTGACAGCATAGGCAGAATGGCTTCATAGGAAAAATGAGCTAATGTGGCAGTTACTTCAACTGTCATAAGAAAGAACCTGGAGATTGACCAATGCAACTGGTGAATGTTACACTTTCTGTTTATATCAAGGGCTTCAGAATAGAGCTGAAGCCTAGATGTTTGGGGTTACTCTGCCTGTGATTCCAAGAATGGGAGAATATGTTTGTGTTCTCCAATAAGGTAATCTTAGTGTTATTTAAAAAAAAAAACATCTTATGTTAGATGACCATATGAAATGAGAGCCAGGATAATACAAGCAGAAGAATGAGCAGGGTGTTTTTACTGCAAGCAATCGACAGTGACGAGGCGGGGATACCTTATAGTCCTCACTGGGGAAGAGGCAGGAGAGGGTGGCTCAATTTGTATTACCTACATTTACCATAACTCACGTATATACTGATGACATTCAGGGGACTAAGAGACAAACATGTATGCTATAGTTAGGATTTATTATTTTCAGTTCTCTGAGGATGGATCTACCACTATGCCCCTCCCTCCCCTAGCTACTGTCTATATAACTTTCATTGATGCTTTTACAGAGCACCCTAAACAAAAGTACAGGACTCCCTGTACTCAATTCATTAATTTAACAAATTACCCTTCAGGAACATTTATAAAGGTGCATTAGGTGTCACTGCCTACTCCACTAATGCCCCCTTCTCTGAGGCCTAGCATCTTCCTCAAGTCTCCCCCACTCTTCAAAGGGGCTAATTTCACTGGCCCTATTCTTATCACTGATGCCAACATTCTACCCACCCAACACATGAGGCTGACTGGCCCATGGCTGGATACCTGACCCAAGTACTGGGACTGCCAAAATGTCTGGGTTTTTCTTAAGATGGTATGGAGAAACCCAAACAAACTTTTTGGCCAACCCAAGAAAAACAGTTCATTATTGGCTGACCACATTTTCTTTTGAGAATATGAACTAAGAAAAAGAGATACACTACTGTCAAGGTGTGGTGGATCTTGAGGTCAAAATGTCAAACAGCAAAAGGACACAATCAAAAGACATGGCAAGCCAAAGATGTGTACCAGAAAATCCAAGAGGACAGGTTCAAACAGAAACCCAGAGAGTAGAGACAGGAAAGGAAGCTAACCTTCTTGTTGGTTTCTAACTTTCCATTTCCCTTGAAGCCTGGTGAGAAATCATTTCTTGCTCCTGGATACCAGAAAGACTGTCTCATATTCTTAGAGAGCAACCTCACTTTTTATTTCTGTTGGTTTAAACTGACTCCTGTTCCTTTCAAAGGGAAAAGTTTTAACTTTTTACACTCAGTTTATCCCTTAGCTCATTATGGTGGTTTTATATATGTTACATCTGAATTAGCAGAATTTTACTACATTCAATGTTGAACATAGAGCAACACAAAACCATCTATTCTCTTGCTATTCAGTGTGTTCTGTGAACTACAGGAATAAGCACTATCAATGAGTTTGTTAGAAATACAGATCTCAGGCCAATATCCCAGACCTACTAAATTAGAAGCTGTATTCTAATAAAATGCCCAGGTGATATTAAAGAAGCAAAAATCTGGCCCATCCTTCCTGTTTTTTGCTAAGTAACAGGCCCAGAGGAGACTGCACTATTTTTAAAGTCTTAAGCAATGAGATAGTGGGTAGTATTAAATATATTCCCAAAGCACTTTAATATCCATTTGTAATCAACTCATAACTTCTGCTGAAGTAAACTGCTTAGGTTAGTGCTTTAATATACTAGATATAAATTATTCTTATTGGTTCATTAAAGTATGTTTTCTAAAGACAATATTAGGTTTACTGAGTTCTAGTATGTGGACACTAAAGTTAATTTTTTTTTAATCTTTTCCCATTTTCTATAGTCTAAATGTATTACTACTCAGCTCAATCTCCCAACTAGGCCCTATCATTTTAACTTTGTTCCATCTTAATCTCAAAAAGGACTTTACTTCAAAAACCAAGTCACAGATAAAAACTTACCTGTTTACATCACACTTACAAAATTTATTGCAGGAAAGAAAAGGATGATAAAACAATACAAAAGATGTCTTGAATGGAGTAATAAAGCAGTCGCGTGCATGTGTGTGTTAGTTGTTCAGTCATGTCCAACTCTGCAACCCCATGGACTGTAGCCCACAAGGCTCCTATGTGCCTGGGATTCTCCAGGCAAGAATACTGGAGTAAGTTGACATGCCCTTTTTCAGGGGATCTTCCTGACCCAGGGATCAAACCCAGGTCTCCCACATTGTGGGCAGACTCTTTACTGTTTGAGCTACCTGGGAAGCAATAAATAATAAAGCAGTCATGCTTGCCTCAATACTCTGTTTCATTAACCCACTTACATATTTATATGCATGCTTTGTTGTGACACAGAGAATTAAACAAAGACTTTAAACATCTGAGGTGGGTCAAAAGTGAAGTCTCTTCAGAATCTTATGATAACAAACATGTAATTTCCCATTACTTTTTTGCCCTGATTATGATACCTAATTCAATGCACACCTTGAGTACTCCTAATAAATCAGATCTACTCAATCTAAAAAAAAAGAGTAATTAGCCAAAAGTTACAAAAATATCAGTGCACTAAAACCAATTATATGAAAAATGTAGTTTTAGTTTCTAAGTAGGAACCCTATTGAAATATAGACTACTTTTAAGGCTAAAATGGTTAGTTTCTTACTTTATAAAATAAAGAATTACTCTACTAGAAAAGAAATAAGGGTAATATATAGATACTGAGTCTGGGGGCATAGCTTTCTATAGGCTGACATCAAAGCAAAGACATGATAACATAAATGGTCTGTATAATTTTTCCAGAGTCCTATTACTTCTTAAAGATAGGAAATTAACTTGCCCCAGCCCTCACTTTTCACTTACTTTCCTGCTAGAATCAGGTCTACAGTACAGAAAGGACTGATATAAATAATTTACTATTATGGGCATCTTTTAAAATCTTTAAAACCATTAGTTTCTGTTTTGTTTTTCATCCTGTAGATACCTGTGGACATAAGCATCACAGCTGAGACTAAATGGCTGGTTTCCCCTCCTTTCTGGGAACATCTCTTTAGGATCTATTATGCAAGGAATGCACACAAAGGTAAAGCTGCATAGGACTATCTGCTGAGCATCTATATTGTACAAAATGTTTGGTCAATCTATGCTAAGAAGCTGGTAACATCATTAGCTAGATTCCCAAGGAATGAGACAAATGGGGTTTGAGATTATAGGAAAGCAAGATTACCGGGCTGGAGGAAGGCAAGATTCACAGAACAGGTGGAAATATAGTTGATTAAAAGATAAGTTTACAGTCTTCTAACCTGTCCTGGAGCTAAAAGTATATTTAAAGAATCCAATAGATGACAGTCCTCCTTAAATTACACAAGACATTTTGCATAGTAACTCTAAAATTTAACTATAATATTTTTCTCCCCATCATCAATTCACCAGTCCTAAGTGAGGGGTCTCAATGGAGAATGGTGTGAGACACTGAAGTGGACTACAACACCCTGGCCTCCTGATTTCACTAGAAAAGACCCTGATGCTGGGAAAGATTGAAGGCAAAAGCAGAAGGGGGCAGCAGATGATGAGACGGTTAGATGCATCACCAACTCAATGGACATGAATCTAAGCAAACTCCAGGAGAGAGGACGGGAGCCTGGCGAGCTGTGGTCCATGGGGTGGCAAAGAGTTAGGCATGACTTAACGACTGAACAATAAAAACAAAATACTACCCTGAGTCTTCCTTGAATACACATTTCTCTGACCGCTACTTGTTGCCTTACGGTTGGATGATGAAATATGTAAGACATTTGTTGAACAAAATTAACCTCCAGGTTTAACTCAATACCTACTCACTCTCTAAAATGAAATGCTTTTTCAAGCATTGTATTCAACACAATGTAAACACAAGAAAACAGTTGATAATGCAATAAAACTAAGTGACAGTCAACCTTAAAGCTCTCCATCCTTTCACACAAAATCTGCAAGTATGGAATGTTGCCTATTACAATTCAATAACTCTTTCTGAGTACAGTTCTTATAATTCCAGAAGCTAGCATGCAATTCATCTAGTTCTGAACCTAGATTAAAGTTATAAACTTGGGAATCCCCTGGCAATCCAGTGGTTAGGACTCTGCACTTTCACAGCCGGGGGCCTGGGTTTGATCCCTGGTAAGGGAACTAAGATCCCATAAGACTTGTGGCACATTCAAAAAAAAGAGTCATAAACCTTGTTTTAATGATGATTCAACATCTAAATGTGTACCATACATAATTATAATGCCTCCTCCTTCTGGTTGCATTAGACACATGTTATCTAGCATTTAGAGCTTCTGACAACAGTGCTCTATACATTCATTAACCTCCAAATCTTCCATTATACTAATTCCCATTCTCAATTATACCATTATCTGTTTGCCAACCTCTTTCCAGGACCAAAGGTACTGTGAGAGAAAGATCACTGTGCTCTCTTGGCCAACAAGTTCATAGGTTTCAAGCTTTTCTGTCTTCAATTAAGGTTATCACCGGCAAACAATAACGATTTTACAGTACCCCCAAAAAAGACTACTTCAAGTCTCTTCAAGCCTTTAATTCTACTTCCTTCTATTCTCAACCAGCAAGGCTGGGTCCACAGCTTCCCAATCTCCATCTCAA